TCCAAACAAGCTGTAGCCTACCGGCAGATGTCGTTGCTGCTTCGCCGTCCTCCAGGTCGTGAGGCTTACCCTGGTGATGTCTTCTACCTCCACTCACGTCTTCTGGAGCGTGCAGCTAAGATGAACGAGTCGCTCGGCGGTGGATCTTTGACTGCTCTGCCTGTCATTGAGACCCAAGCCGGTGATGTGTCCGCCTACATTCCCACCAATGTAATTTCTATCACTGATGGACAAATCTTCCTTGAGACTGAGTTGTTCTACAAGGGAGTCCGACCAGCTATTAACGTTGGTCTATCTGTGTCTCGTGTCGGTTCCGCTGCCCAGACTAAGGCCATGAAGCAAGTGGCTGGATCCATGAAGCTCGAACTTGCTCAATATCGTGAGGTGAGTAGTTTTCATTATAGTAAATCTTGTCAATAACGTTCAAAACAACTTGTAAAGATACTCCGTTCCTGGGCATTTTCTGCAGCACTTTTTGCCCACGCAAAATCAGAGAATTCCCTCTATATGGCCAAAGATGGAATGATAAGAAGAGTTTTCGGGCATTTGCCACCTTTTGCCTCCAAGTCAGATAAAGACCCCTCTCCGGGATTAGTACGCCCCCTTCCTTCCCACTCTCTCCCCACCCACTGGAAGGTTATCAATAAAACTTCTTTTTCATAAACTATAATTAGCATTGATGCATTGTTTCTACTCAAAAGCCATCGCCATTATCTAAGAGTAGGGCTTTGTTCCTGCACCAAGTTAAACCCGATTCGCTCTTAAAATTTCTATCAAGTGCGCTTTCCTTTACATTTGATTTCAAAAGGTATGGAAGCCTTAACGTGTAGAGTGTAGCTGTTGTTACCTAATGAATGTCCCAAGTTTTCCTGAGGCCTTTTCTTTGAAAGTCTTCCTAATTTAAAGTATCAGGTTACTGCTTAGGTCGCTGCATTTGCCCAATTCGGTTCTGATCTCGATGCTTCCACCCAGCAATTGTTGAACCGAGGTGTTCGTCTCACTGAGCTACTCAAACAAGGACAATACGTACCTATGGCCATCGAAGAGCAGGTATTGCGCTAGTTCCTG